TGGGAGGCAGAAGCTTGGGCTTTAGGCAGCCTTGTCCGTATTCTCAGCTGGAGTGCTTTAGACTCTGAGCGACTTGACAAAGTAGGCACAACGGCAAGGAGACTCTAGACCCTAAACAGCCCCGATAGTAGGATTCTGCTTGCAAGGACACACCGAAAGTTTGAAATTGTAGAAGCGTCCATAGAGCCCTCATATGTAACGCCATAACCCTACATAGCGCCTTCACGATGCAATTAAGCAGCACAAGGTCAGGCGGAGCAAGGCTAGCATGGCTCCGAAGACTTCTCTACAAAACTGAGGAAGACGGCCCCCCCAACTTTCAACAAAAGGACTCGGCCCTTTGGTCTTATAGACGGGCCCATAGTATAGGTGAGGTGCAGAGAACCTCAAGTGTCACATCTTCGTCTTGGTCTGGTTTCATGGGCGCTTTTGTCCAGGTAGGGCTACAAGGAATTACCTTCACCGGGGAAGGAGCTATTGCTAAGTTTGCATGTCGCCTTTGGGAAACATCTCTTCGAAGCACCCATGACCCTTCAGACGTGTACCACCGCCTTTCGAGCGTGAATGAGGCACTTCTTTTGTTTAGGGGGCTCGGTTCAACTAGTTGGTTGCCGAAGATGAATGAATGACCTGTCGATGCTCGAGTCAATAGCACCAGCAACAGTGGACCACCGTAATAATTGTTCCGTTTTCGCCCGTCATCTTCGTACAGCCGCAATGCCTGCCCCTATGTTGTTTGGAGGTTCCTCTGTCGTTTTCATTGTCACCCCCCAGCCCTCATCATGACGCGCATTGCTGCTGAGGGTCATCGCGCCCCCTCGCGGCAAGTGGCTCCGTGCGAAGCTGCCACTGTCCCGAAAACGCCCGAGCCAGAGAGCAGCTGAGCTTGACTAATAGAGGAGCCTGCATAAAAATTTGGGGGCTCCAGTTATAGTATAATATACCCAGTTTCGTTTGCCCGAACAGACTTCTTGTCCGATCACACCCCAAAGCCAATTTCTAATGCAATTGGCCCGAGTGGGGGGTTTGGGTTTACGATGTTTTTGTTTTCATCTTCTAAGCTCTCGCGCAGAACCGAGGCATTCAGCTTAGACCTCCGAGCCCAGATCCTTAAAATCCGGAGTGGCGGCAGCTCAAGCTTGACAGAGGAAGCAACCCACGAGCATAAGATCGCAGACCGAACCCAACATCATGGCAAAGAGCCGCTGCTGTCGAGGGACCCTGGCACCTTTACACCATATATTGGCATGGCCTCAGGAACAAGGACTCCCATTCTCGCAAGCACGTTATCCCCGTTGCTTGAGCATCCTTTTCAGAGTATTATTAAGGTGATCCAGAAGTTCTGCAAAAAAGTCTCTCGTGCAAATTCATCAGCACAGGCAGAGGGACAGTAGTTGAAACCCCACAAATGGTCCTCATGTCAGGATCCTAGGTCGATTGGATTACTGTGGTGTTACCCTCTCTGCATACTCCCTGAGGTAGACCTGATAGTCCGCCGCCTGCAGCGACTCGGGCTATGCTGGTGAGGGCTCCTGCACAACCAGAAATTCAATCCATCTCCGCAAGCAGGCCACTCATGTATGCCCCGGACCAAACAGAACTTCTGACACAAACTCCAGAGTTTACATTCTTTCTAGATTTATTCTGTGGTCATCGGTGAAGTCACCCAAGCCCTGCACAGTCGTGTGTCGATCTCGCATGGTGCTTTGCATCTAGACACAAACAGTAGAGGCCATTGTTATTGCTGAAGCCACATCGTGCGCTTCGGTTCATCGCAGTGCGGATGCAGAGTGGAGGAATCTCTAGACCAGCTAAAGTGTACATGAACCCTAAACCCAGCTCGCAATTGCGGCACGTCGGTCAAATCCGCGCGAGATAGGCCTGTGGACCCTATCGGTGTGTTCTTTTTTTGCGACGTGTGTGTTCAGCCTCCGCCAACCTCCGACGTCCTTTCCGGGTTTCGGGGTTGAGAGTTCAGGCTGACAGGTTTCGGGGGCTCGTAGTCACAGCCAATACCCATTAGGTACCAGAAGTTGAAAACTGGAGATTCGGGTTGCTTCCCGAAGCCGCAATGTAGGGCTTAAGATTGGCCCCTCTAGAAGAATCGAGTGAAGACCTCGACAGGTGTGCAGGTTTGAGGGCTATATCTTTCAGGGCTGAGAGTTTTATTTTCAGTTGTTTGGAGTTGCGAACCCTCCACTGCAAACTCAACAGAACGGAACTGTCCGATGCTACCCCACTCTACAACCTAATGCCTCTATGTAATGCAGAGCCCGGGTCCAATCCTGCCAAGAACTCCCTACATCAGCGGAGTCCCGCAAAACACCTCGCCCTACTTCCTCATGGCCCAGAGCTGCCTGTCCCAAGCCTTGAAAGAAGACGGGGCAGCAGGCAATAAGACTTGCCGGTCCGTCTATCGCCGATCACAGCATCCACACAACCATCTACCTTACATGGTCCCAACTAGGCAAAACTTTAATATATGCTTCTTCTGCTGCGCAGTCCTGTAAGACCTTGAGTCGCAGCCAAAGGACGAGCAAGTCCAAACCCCTCTCTCTCACTGGCATATATAAGCTTCATGTATCCCGAACTTTTGCTTACTCCCACATGCTGACCGCGCATTCCCCTCGGAATCGGGCAACCACGAACTACCGCTTTAACTTGTATGAGAACTATTGTCCCTAGCAGAGTGCTTTCTGCCGAGGTCCACTCCAGCAATTTCTGCGCTCTCCCCAGTGCACCGAGCCCTCCGAGAGCAGCGACGACTCTGCCCTCGGAGGCAGTGGCACCTCCAGGCTGGCGGGCTATAGAAAGCTTGGAAAGTGTAGTGGTTTGGGTTTAGGTTTCAGGAATATTAGTTTTGTTTTGCGGCATATCGGGCTCCTGAATTTAATGTGGGAGCCAATTCCGGTATGTTGAATGGTTTCGATAAGAAAAGATATGTCCGTCCGACTGTTTTTTTTTCGCGGTTCACGGCTACAGGGAAATGCAAAAGTTAATATAAGGATCTTGTAACGATGAGAACAGGGTTTTGGGGCCCAGTATACTTTAATTTTTCTTAAGGAAACCACAAAAAAAGTGTTGGTATTGATTTATGCCCCTACATTAGAATCTGGACACTGGACCCATCAGCTTGATGGCAAACTGACTCCCCAAATGTATCTCTTGTGTCCCAAGCTGTACAGGGCCAGTGCACTAGCGGCATTTTTGCCTCAACTGCAGCACCTGTTCAACCACCCTTGCAAGCTTTATATAAGCTGCTGCTTATAGCTACTGTGGCATTCTGAAAGCAGGATTGCTTTGAATCGTCGCGTAATATAGACTGGTATGTTGACATTCAGCCTACCCCAGCTAAACTGCTATAGGTTATACCAGCCCTGTACCAACTCTTGACTTGCATACTTGGTCTCAAGCCTAAGACTGAAACAAATCCCAAAGTCTCCAAACCCAGAAGTCTTGCAAGGTATGGTTTCGCACCCGGATGTCGGCAGCCCAGTGCGGCACATAAGCAGCCCGATCCGATTCTCACAAGCTGGCACACCAGCGCCTTGACTTGTTTCGCACCCAGGGTTTCGGACAGTACAAGAGTGTTGAGAGTTGCCTATAGCTGTTTCTATTGGCATCGCAATCAGCGACAAATCAAAGGAATCTGAATGATCAGAACCCGATACCAATCACCAGTTTCCTCGTCGATGATTGTGTGTGAAGAGTACGATTTGTTTCTACCGCCCCCGCAGACAAGTAGCAGACCTTCCGATCTATCCGAACCCGATGTCGAAAGCGCGTGAATGACTATGCTGGGTTTGTTGGGGACCTCGTGGCTGCACCCTCACTCTCTGCTCAGTCTAGGCATGGATAGCAAGCAGGACTCGCACAGGTTCCACGTTGCAGTGCGGTCTTGGGTACAGTGTTTCTATGCTTTCGAGCAGCTTGGGTTGGTCGGTGGCCTTTCCTAGGTGATATAGAGCTGAAAAGGCGAGATACATACTCAGCTTTGTACCCTGAACCCTAAACCCCAGCTACTCAGCTCCCCTCCAAAAGCTCTCCCAGGTACATCTTCATCATCCTGTACAAAGGGAGAGGTCGCAGCCTGTGGCCGGCCAAGGATCGGGTTCGCTCTAATCGCCATTGGGGCTAGTGGCAGAACCACTTGTCGTCGTCATCGTTTTCGGTAGTGGTTGTGATAGGAAAGGTGGAGTTGGGCAGCAGCACGTGCAACAAACAGCAGGAGCAGGAGCAGTAGTACCAATGAAGGTGGTGGTGGTGCCGGCGCTTGATTTTGCAGCTCCGGTTGTTGTTCTGTTGAACGATACAACATACTGCTAGGTGAGTGGAGCAATAACGAGGAAGGACAACTATTTCAAACGCCTTTCCAACAGGCTCTGTGACGATGCGAACAACTCAGACCGAAGGATGTTCAACACGAGCTGTGCGGTCAAAACGGGGTTCGTTTCTATGTCTTTTTGGAAGTGGTTTGAGGTCTTGACGGATTGGGGAAGCAGGTCTAGGCTTCGGGGACGTGCGAGATGATTTCGAGTTTTGAGCGCCTGATGATTGGTTGTTCGAGGGCTGACGACTTCGAGGACGTGTTTCTGGCGTTGCAAGGCATGTGCTGTAAGCAGTGGCACCCTTTTCAACATGTGCTCTTGCGCTCAGGATGCTTGCCATGCAGGAAAAGGCTGAAGACCGCCGTAGAGTTTTAACTTTGTACTTGGCTGTCGAAGGACTTATTGTAGCGGGGTCTTCGGCTTGCAATACTGCAGACACAAAACCCTTTATTCCTCAGTCAAGAAATATACTGTCTAGTAAGCCATGCAAGCACTGCATAGCAGTAGTTTCAGGGTGTCTCTCATTTTGCTGCAGTTGGAACGTCTTTGGAGCAAAAGCCCTTTCGCGAAACTGAAAATCTAAGCACTAAGCTTTAATCAATCTCAAAAATGACACTAAATCCTATCAAGGCCCTCGAGATCTCCAGTCTCTAGACTCCTGAACTGCCGGAGGCATCTGGGTGGTCCAACGCGAGGCCAGCAGCCCAATGCGCCGGTCGCAAGACGCGACACCGGCTCTTTGGCCTGTTAAAAATGCGGGGGGCAGCTACGGTTTAGGACTAAGGATACGGAGGGAGTGCAAAGCTTAGGATACGAGGTTTGGGGTTCAGGATATGAGGTGTACTTCGCTAGGTCTGAAGATTGCAAAGGTTTCAGGTTTAATGGCTCAGTATGAGTCTACAGGAGAAGATCCTGCTACTGTAGAACCTTTGGTTGAAGGAGGCTCGTGAGGGTTTCACTGGAGCGGTGTAGCTTATGCTCCGAGTTTTATTTATGGTCATGATGTTACCTTGGCTAGTGTACGGTTACTTGTACTCAGGTTACTCTTCAAGTTATTTTGTGCTGTTAGGGAAGGCCGAAGAATCCCCAAGGGTTGGGGGTTTGGGTTGAAGTGCCTGCAAGTCCAGCAAGCTGACACCAAGAACACACGTTTGAGGACTCAGAGGCGCGAGGGATTTGAGCTCTTGCCTGTTTAGAGGCATCAGGATTTTGATGTTCCGAAGCTACTCTAGGATCCGGTTCCCCCAACTTCAGCCTCTGCTAACCGAAGTCTTCGGCAACAGGTTCACCAGATGAACGTACAGCATACGACGTCGCAGATGTCAACTGGTACGCCCGTGAATGCACAAGGTCCCTTGGCTTGCGGAGGTTTTGGGAGGTGTTTACGGTTCATGTTTTCGGGGTTTCGATGTAGGTTTCGGATTCCCGCTTTAGGGTTGCGCTCGTAGCATGTTGCAGGGTTGGGGCTTTGGCAGCTTTGGGCTTCATAAGTATATATATATATACACACATACATATCTCCCAAATCACTCCGCCCGCTCGTGGCTGAGGGGTTGACGACAAGGGCACTGGGCTCATGGCTACCCGTTTTGGTGGGCAGCAGGACTGATGGTAGTTTTTATGGAGGAGGCAAGCTTGGGAATGATGCAGGGGCCCAAATAATTACCAATACTATTTTGGGGGGTTCCTTATGATAATTATCGTACAATGGGCCCCAACAACCCTATTCCAATTATTAAGGCCCCTATATTAGAAACTCCAAACGAAGGCACGACAGCAGGCACATAACTGTCAAAGTCCACGGTGGAGTAAGCATTCTCAAGACGTAGAAAACTGTGCAGACAAAATCTTAACTCGATGATCTCGATGAAGCCAGCGAAAATGCTACAGCTACACACTGGACAGAGCATCTCCGGTCTCTCGAGGCTCTCCAGTCCAGAGGCCGAACAGAACCATCGAGCTTCAAGTCAGTAGCTTGTGACCCGACAAAATCATGTCTTTTTGTATGTAACATGCAGCCCCAAACCCAGAAATGCAAAGAAGCTTACACTCAAATCCCAGACAGTGAAGAGGTTAACCTAGAATCCCAGAGCAGGCAAGTGCCGAAGCCGAACAGCAGCCTCAACCATGGACAACATCATGTTTAGCATCTAGGGCGGGAGGGTATTGTGACTAAGCCTGACTGTTGGAACACTCGTTTCTGTTTTCAGTATCGTTATCATCGCCATTGGACCAAACGTATGCTCTTGTGGTCGCCCTGACCAACCAGAGTTTGGATGATCGTGGCAGTTCTCAAGCAAGACTGCAGGAGAGCGACATGTTGGAGAAGTCTCCTGGCAAGTTTAGTGGCAAAGGGGCCTTGATAATACGAATCGGGTTTTGGGTTTAATACGATTACATACTAACGTAGGGACCACTGGAAACGTACCTTTACTTTTGTAGACCAGTCGACTCTGGTAAGCTCTTGGCGACGAAGTCGGACACGGCTTCGTGCGCCGGAGTCTGGGGGTTTAGGGTTTTTTGTGGCCAATCTCACATCGCAGTCATGAGTACTGTCTTGTGGGTCAAGCTGGGCAGTAAGGGCAGCAGTCGAGTCCCTTGTGAAAAAAGGGTTTTTAGGGTTTAGGCTGGGAAGGAAGGAAGGAAGGAAGGAAGGAAGGACGGAGTGAGCGGGAGCCAGGGAGGGAAACTGAAAACAGACGGGCAACCAGGCACTGCGGATTCTACATTTAGCAAATTTTCACATGCATGATTCAGTTCTCAAGTCTCACATTTTTTCTTCGGATTGTGACGAAGATTTTATGTACATGCCTAAGACTGGACAATAGGTCTATATGTCTATCTATATAAATACATGTAATATTAATAATTAATATATATATATAGAGAGAGAGAGAGAGTTCTCCCCTGTCCGATTCAAGACGCAGAAAACTTCGAGTTTCATGTATGTCGCGATATGCCGATTGTTTGCGACGAGGCTGGGTGACAAATACAAGGATGCCGCGCCACTAGCAGATGCTGAGACGGATTCTTGGACGTCACTATGCAAGGCTTTACACAGTGGACTGTTTCACGGGCCTAGGGCTGGACGGCACACGGCGACCTGGGTTTCTTTTGGTTCAGCCACGGGGCATTGAGAGGTTTGGGCTCGAAATAATTCAACGCAGATTAATACTCCCTGATTACTGGTAGGTCTTGAACTCTATACATGGCATAGTTGCTGTCGTAAGTTTCGCCAAGATGCTTGTGTCCGTTGTGTCCCCGCAGAATACGGCTGGGTGTTAATTTAATGCTTCGGATAGATGGAAATCAGAACAGTTTAGAGTGTAGGCTAGGCTTTCTGGTTGTAGGAGCTGGTATGTTGTACTAGAGTTAGCCCCAAACTCTTTGTGATTCCAGCCTTGGTAGTTGCGAACCAACCATCGCGAAGCCTTGCCCGCCTGGTGCGAGCGCAAGCGTCGAAACCCGAAACAAAGCACGAGCAACAGGGAAACTGCGTGAAGACTGCTACATGCTCCTAGCTCGGGTGTCCCCAACCTGGGAGGAGTCTCTTCAATATGCAAATCCTTGCAATTCTGCTTGTTGACTCAACGTTGTGGTCGAACACTCCAAGATACCGGGAAAGGGGGTTTCTGCCGTAGCAGCTTGAAAGTTCTGAGTTCAAGAGCCCACAGTGCCCACACGCTCAAGCCGCCGAAGCACTTTCGTAAAATCCCTGAGCTCTCTCCAAGATGGCTACCTGTAGTGACTGTAGTGTCCATTGTAGTTCCTTTTTTGGGTTACCTTATGGGCCTTATGGGGTCCTAGATATATAAATAGTTTAACCAAAACAGGAACTAAAATGGAGACGACAGGTAAGAACACCGACACACAAATCGAACACCCTGGACCCCGAAGCCTTCAAGCCCTGAACCGTCTTCAATGGTTCCTCTCAGCTCCTCCAACAGAAGCTGTAAAGGCAGGACTTTCTAATGATAATAGTAGCTAAGTATTCTCTGAGTATGTGCCCTTTCAGGCCCATGTTCAGCTGGTATCTTTGGGCAGCTACTGTGGTCCGAAGTTGTCCTTTCAGAAGATGGGTCGCGGTGCAGAGACCTTGCCCTTTGCAGCTTGTCCCAAGCAGAGGGTTCAAGGCAAAAGTTAAGGGTTCAGGGTTTAGAGCTCAAAGGTTCACCTGGAGCATGGTGGCATTTAACCGCATTCTGTTTGGATACCGCGAGCCTTAAAGTAGTAGGACTGCAAAGGAATAGAAAGGTTAAAGTTTAAATCCAGGAGTTGGGCATTATCTGTCAGCGGGTCAGGGTTTCGCTGGTGGCAAAGTATTGAGTTCCTGCATGTGAACGCTCAGGACTGGATCCGCACCCGGATGAGTGGAATTCTTCGATTACTGCGCATCTTGCCAGGTTGGACAGGTAACAAGCTTGTCTGTCGCGTCGAAGGTTAAGATTTGTTCCACATGTTCCAAGCAAATGGACCATCAACTCCAAACCTCAAAACCCTCAATGCAACCCTGCCGTTCCAACCTCACCCGGCTAGTCCGAGTGTTGGTCGGGCCCCTAGCCTTAGTCTACTTGATTTTTCAGAAGACACTCGAAAGCAGCTAGGTCGTGTGGTGGTCAAGGAATCTTAGTCGAACACACACATTTGTGCCTTGCTTAGGAATAGCTTGTGTCTTTTCGATTGACTTCGTCAGACGGTCATTCCCACGGCAACAACGTGACTGGGAGTGGTTCGAAAAAGCGGTTGAGAGAGGCTCTTGAGTCTCGTCAGTCTTCTTTTCAACCCGAAACTCATCTAAACCCTACACCGCCTATACCCTCAAACTGACCCCCAAACTCCTGTGCATACCTCGTGAAGCTCATACGAAAGAGTGCGCACAGGGGCCTCCAACTCAGAGTTTCAAGTCGGAAGCTTCTGTCCCTAAGCGCCAAAGGAAAATTCCCCAACCCTCAGCCTAGCCTAGCCTGGATTGTCAGGTCTCAAAACCCGCCCATGGCCCCCCAAATCCCCAGCCAAAACCTCAGATAGTACCCTGCCATACATGCCGGCAAATCTATGGGAGCTGTCCAACCCGAGAGGCCGCGAAGTTACGCCATGATCTCTATAGCTAAACCCTCATGTTAAGCCTTTTTGACCATCTTCGCAGCCGGCTTGCTCACAAGGTCGTGCTCCATACATGTTGTTTGGAGTCCGCTTGGATCCCGCAGCCAACATTTGGACAAGACCGAGGAAGCAACTTCGAGGGCTTCTACGATTTCGTCACGCAGATGAGGGTGCCGGACACAGGTCACATGGCCACTTGGCCGCACGAGTCCCACCGCAGCAGACCCTTGGGAGCTCTGGATATCTGAACCTTGCCACCCTAAAGCTTGTGAGGGTGAAGCCCTCAACGAAGAACCTGAAGCGTTCGATGTTGATTGACATCGCAAACCCCTTCAGTATTCTATGTTGCTTTTGCGGGCCCCTGATCTCAACCACATATAGATTTGGAAGAGGCCCACACAAGAGTGGCTCCGGCAGCCAAGTGTAGGCCTCAACACGAGAGCATGAAAAATCAGCCCACGAGTGCTGAGGTGATGTTTCGTGGCTACTACCACTCCTTCTGGCACGACGACCCAACCGAGCCGATGATGTGCCGCGGCTCCGGATGAGAGAGGGCCTACTTGCAGTGTGTGGTTGAAAGTTGAGGGTTTGCCTCAGGCCGTAGCCGGTGCCAGCAACGGCTCCTAGCTTCCTGCTCGGGGCATGTGCAGCACATTCTGTTGTCCAAGGAACGCTCTACACTCCCCTCGGCAAACATCTTTGTAATTGCAAGGGCTGTAGTGCGAGGTGGGCTCTTCCTCAGGTTGCATGCTAGTGGCTAGTGACGGCCATTGAGGTTTTATATGCTTCGTCTTGATTCCGAGTCAGAGGGAATCTCAACCAGCTAAGACCCTATCAAAGTGTATGACCTCAGCGTTCCGAGCCCTTACTCCAGCAGGCCTAGAGTGTGGCCTACAGTCGGTGCTTAGACTTTGTAGGCACTGCCGTTTCTCGAACGCTACCCTTCGGTCCAGATACATACCGCCTCGAACCTTTTCTGTAGATGTCTGTAGTTTTTTGATGCTTTCTCGGGTCGCAGAGGCGAGAGAGGGTTCTCTGGGACATACCCGGAAGCTCCAACACCCCGAATAAATCGGATAAGTGGAAGGAACCCGCAAAGCACTGCTTTATAATTAAGGGGTATGTTGCTAAACTCAGGGTGTGCACAGGGTTGTCGGCCCCTCTGGGCATCAGCACCCTGTTCAAGCTGTACGACCCGACCCCGAAAGCCCATCTCTCACCACATGAATCTGATAGAGTACATGCGTGGCGGTTCCAAGACAGACGGGAAAATCATAATGCGATGGTTGTTAGGGCTTATGCTTCCGAAACGCTGGAGCGCAGAAGCTGCAGCCCTCAACCCGATCGAGCAGCTTGCACCCCCAAAACCTAGGTTATCTTAATCCCTGAACTCTAAAATAAAAGCGTCATTTAGCCCAGTCTCCCTAAAATGCCCAACCCCAAACCGACAACCTCGCCTAGGCTTGCCCGAGTGTGAGTGCTGAAACCGACAACCCTAATTCTTGACCCCGGAGAGCCCGAAGATGGCGCCAAAAGGCACGAGCGCTACAACCGCCGCATAGCTCGGCTCTGGGATATCGACTCGGAGGCGCGACAGCCGAGGAGGAGGGCGTTTTTTGTGTTTGAGCTTCGGGGTTCCTCTTGGGTTTGAGATCTATAGGGCTCGGAGCGGATAATGTTCCAAGATGGTGGGCTCAGAACTTGGGATCTGTGTTTGGATGATGAACTGAAATTCGGACAGTAAGGTCTAGGAGTTAGCGCTTATAAGGTTGTGGGGAATCTAGGGCTTTGCGGCCTGACGGTGCTGTGGTTAAGCCTTCTGCTGCGACCATAAAACTTGATACAAGTACATAACTGAAATTATAGCTGCATTGGAACTTCCCAGGATCGAAAGTTCACGGTGGACTGCTCTATACTCCCCAAATATCTGCCTGTGGCTGCTTTTCACTCATTGTTCTGACCTGATGCCTGCCTATCACTGCCTCCCAATGCGACAAGCAAAGTTGAACTTAGATCCCCAGGGCCCGCAGCCCAGAATCGAAGAAAGCCTGACCCGGAATCCCGGTAGCTCGAAGTTCGCACATGTAGCCGAATCCTCCAAACCCTGGAATTCTCGATCCCCGAGAGCAGACTCCCAAACGGGAAGCCCCCTTTGGGAGGTTCGGCCGGTACTTTTTGTGCGCTCCATCGTTTCGAACGAGGCGGGAGGATGTTCGGAAGAAGGAATTCGGCCTATCGGGCCTATCGTTTCTGGACAAAGCTCCCCAAGCAGTCTAGGATCCTTTCTAAAGAATCCATGACTTTAGACCCCACATCTTGCGCAGCCTCCTGCCATGGACACTGTAACAGGTTTAGTGACATACGTAGTGTGCTTAGGGTTCGGTAGGATCCGGGTTTTGGGGTTTGATTCATGTGGAGTCTTCGGAGGAAGTACACGGACCCTTGTGAGAACAAAGACTGGTAGCGTCCGCGATGTACCCTGGATATGCCAGACAGCCTCCGGAACCCCCTCTGCTCAAACAACCTAAGTCCTAAACCCCTATAAACCCTAACCCCTACACCCCTAAACACTAAACCCCTGTCTTTTCGGAAAGGGGATCGCATGTAACCCTGGACCGAAAAACCCCTCTAAACCCTAAACCCCTTCACCCCTAAACCCCTATAAACTCTACACCCCTAAACCCTATATAAATAAACCCTGAACCGTGGCTCTCCTTTATCTTCGAGTCCTGGTTTACTTTCTCTGCTGCCTCGATTCCTCGCAGAACCCGAAGCTCCCACGATCTCGGGCTAGGGGTTTAAGGAGGTCGCAATTACGGGTTGAAAGGGATGGTTTTGCCTTCGGTTAATCTTGAGTCCTAAATCTCAAGTTGAACCCTTAAGTCTTATCTCCGAAGTTGATATATGGGGGTTTCCGAAAATAGGGGACCCTAATATAGTACCCTAAATAGGAAGATCCTTAATATAGGGACTCACCCAGACAGGAACTCCCCCTGACAACAATCCGAAGGAAGTGCTTCAGATACCCGAGCTCATGCAGCAGCTGCGACAACATTTCGGGCAGCACGCGCGGTTGCTGATGGTTTTGGAGTGGCCTGGTAGCACAAAGCTTGCCGAAAGGGACTTCATTGTTAAGCCCTAGCCCTAGCTATCACAAGCCCTATTATTACACCCTGATTGCCAGCAACGAGCACGACGCAGAAAGGTTCAACCTGAGGGGCTTCAGGTATTTAGGATCTTTTCCAGTTGAGATGTAAAGAGGATAGAGCGTAAGAGACTTGGCCTGACTAGTCATTCATAATTGCCTTGCTTAATTAGAGTTATCCAACAGAAACGACACCTGGGCCCCAAACCTTTCTCGAGGTATTAAGGCCCTCACTCTGGCCTTATTTGGGGCTTTCTGGCCAGGGAGCCCAAGAAATCTGAAACCAGCGGCTGTCAGCTTCAACTTGTAATTGTAGAGACTGAGCCACCTTGCCAGGAAGGGTCCAACGAGTTTCGATTTTGTCTGATATGCGGCTTATGGTTCAGACTTTGCATGACCAAGAAGGAGAAAAAGGGTACTAGCGGGTCATGGTTGGAGACTTCTGGATCTGGAATACGATTAAAAAAAGGGTCCAGCATTGGGAGTTGGTGGGTGGGTCTGGATGACGGTGTAGCATCTGATGCTTACCAGTTGTCGGATTTATAAATGTAGGTTCTAAGGCTTCGGGTCTTAGACAGGGGGGCTTCAGATATCCAGGCTTTAGGATGTTCGGCTCATGATAGCTGAGAAACAAAACCACCCAGAGGCCCTACACAAAGCTCAAAACCCGACCGCTATAATTGACAAAGGAAGATTTTGGGTTTTCCACTGCCCTGGCCCTGCCTACCTGCCCTCCCTGCCCTGCCTTCCCTGCTTGCGTACCTCAAGAACGATTTTTTAAGAAAGAAGAAAGCCATAGAATGAGTTTAGAGCTAAACCCTAAAAGGAATAGGTTTGGGCGGTTTGGCCGCCTCAGACGGCGTGGGGTGGGAGAGTAAAAAGGAAGAGCTCTCAACATTCAGGCTCCAGCAACGAATCGTCAAATCACGATACACTGGAAACTGCACAGCCGCCAGATACTTCCGCCTATGCGCCATTCTACGGCAAAACTCTAAACCCTAAACCCTA